GGAAGAGCAGCATAAGGAGTTCCTCTCCAAACTCGTGACACGGTTGCTGTATGCTTGCAACTACCAGCGGTCAGAGTTGGAGAGACAGCACCAGGACCTGACGCAACAGCATTAGGAGTTGGCGACGCTCCGCCGCACAGTGCAGGGTCATGAGGATGCAACCCAGACACTCAATGCCCGATTGCTGGACCTGGAAAACACTGTATCAGGACCAACTGCTGGGGCTTCCAGCAGTGCACCCTCTAGCCGCCAACTGGAGGACCGCGTTGACCACGTAGTGGCAATGCTCGGCGACATCAGCACTTTCACTGCGCCGACCACCACCATCAGCAATCAACTGCTTACATTGAAGACCGAGGTCCWGAAGCTGCAGTCGACGAACGTGGACGACAATCCGAAGATGTACAAGATGCCAACTTTCAACCTGGAGAGGTTCGACGACTACACGCAGCAGGATCCGGTCCTCTGTTGGGAAGCATTCACAACGCAACTCAGGATTCTGCGCGTAGCCAAGCATGCGTACATCGGCGCCCTGTTCCTGAACTCAAAGGGCGGATCCCAGACCTGGCTGAGCCACTTGGCAACCTCCCACGGCGTCGACGTACCAGACTTCAAGGACGTAATCACATGGGAGGAACTGACACGGCTGTGGAAGAAGCGGTTCATCGTCGATGACGCGCCGACACTCGCCATCAACCGTTTGTTCACCATGTCACCGGGCAACACAGCAACACGGGACTGGCTCACGGAGTGGCAGAAGATTGTGGCATTGCCCAATCTGAACTTACCATTCGAGCATCTACGCCGTGAGTTCTACAATAGGTCCTGTGCTGTATTGAGCCAGGCTCTTGGTGATCGCGAGCAGTATGCCACCTTCGCCAAGATTATCGACAAGGCGCGAGAGATCATCAAGACCAACATGTCAGCTGCACACGAGAAATCAGCATGGCAGCCGACCTATGTGGAGAAGGTACGAACTGGTCCGCGACAGCAGCACTTCGCTGCAGTCCAACAGGACAGTGGAGATAACCCAGCAGCCACTCCAGCATCAAGTGACGGAGATCAGGTGGCTGTTGTCCAGCCGCGAAGCAACAACAAGTCCTGCAACAATGGGAAGGCGAAATCCGCATTGCAGGCCAGAAATGGACAGCCAAGACAATTTCCATGGGTCAAGTTTGGCTTGACCGAGGCGGAGTACAAGGTCCGCGGCCGCTACGGCAGCTGCTACTGGTGCAACAGCACCAAGCACAAGACCTCCCTGTGCCAAGATCAGGGCAAGGAGGATGTGCGACCCCGCCTCAGCTCGGGAAACTGAGCTCTACGGAAGGTGAGGCGACTCCACCTTTTACTCCGCCAGATTCGGCCGCCTTGCTAGCGGTCTCCTGCACATCTGGGGAGGATGCGAATGTCGCAAGTCCTCGGTATACTTACGAGGATTATGCTGTCCACTTGGTTCCACCGCTGGACCAACCGCTCCACGTGCAACAGTCCACCGCATGCACGGTTTCATCACCATCGGCAACCGATTCGGCAGCTTCGCCGCAATCTATCGTCGGGGATTCGACGTCATGGTCAAGACTTGAAGAGCTCGACCCGTTGACGTTCACGGACCTTCAGTGGATGTCCGTTCCCTCGACCGGACGATTGCCGAAACCGCATTGCAATGTGCTCATGGCACAACTGTGGGACTACTTGCACACTGCAGTACTAGCTCCGTTGATGGACGCCGTAGCAGAGGTTGTTGACCTTCACGTTTACATCGCGAAGATCGACGGCGAGTTCAAGACGCAATGGTACGACGACATCGACGCACCATTGCTATACGTACGCATTCAGATCGGAGAGGCGACCTGCAGTGCCTTGATCGATTGCGGAGCATCTCGCAACTACACCAACCAGGACTTCATGGTGCGCGCCGGCCTTGGCCCACGTGTCCGGAGGAAGTCCCAGCCTACGCAAGTCACGTTGGCAGACGGTCATACGCATAAGTCAATCGACCGGTGCATTGACGCCGTCCCCGTGTACTTTGCCCCTCACGCAAGTGAGGCGGTGTCCTTTGATATTCTGGACACCAAATTCGACATGATCTTGGGCATGTCATGGCTGCGAAGTGAGGATCACCCGGTGAACTTCTTCAACCGCACCGTTCACATTCGTGATCGGAATGGAGTACTAAATCCATGGACGGTGCCTCTTCCTCATCCTTCCATCAGCTGCCACGTGGTATCCGCCGCAAGCATGCGAGCATCCATCATCAAAGATGACATCGAGGAGATGGGGGTATGTTTTCTCCACGCCCTCCCGACCCGAGACGCTTCATCGACGGACTCATCTTCGGATCCACGCATCACCGAACTTCTCGACGCTTACAGCGACGTGTTCGAAGGCCCGCACGGAGTAGTACCGGATCGACCCATCCGCCACGAGATCATCCTCGAGGACGGGGCCGTACCTCCGCGCGGTTGCATCTACCGAATGAGCGAGGAAGAGTTAAGTGTGCTTCGGGCACAACTCGACGACCTTCTRGAGAAAGGCTGGATTCGGCCTAGCTCATCGCCATACGGTGGTCCTGTTCTCTTCGTCCGGAAGAAGAACAAGGACCTGCGGTTGTGCATCGATTATCGCAAGCTCAACGCGGAGACGATTAGGAATGCCGGCCCTCTCCCACGCATCGATGACCTTCTCGAGCGATTGGGCGGCGCTTAGTTCTTCTCTAAGCTGGATCTCAAGTCAGGGTACCACCAACTCGAGATTGGCAAGGAGGATCGCTACAAGACCGCGATCAAGACACAGTACGGGCATTTCGAATGGTTGGTCATGCCGTTTGGCCTTACGAATGCCCCAACCACTTTCCAAGCGACTATGACAACGGAGTTTCGTACTTATCTACCTCGACGACATTCTGGTCTACAGTCGGAGTCTGGACGAGCATGTGGAACACCTGCGCACCGTTTTGGAGCGGCTACGACAAGCCAA